TATATATATATATATATATATATATATATATATATATGATCTAAGTATATATTTTTTTTACACTTATTAATTTTATTTTAATTTTATTTCTAGCCAGCAGGGGGACCACCTGTAATTACAGGCAGCCCCCCTGCTGGCAATACAGAAGCCAGCTATCCCGGCCATGTGATTGTGAGGTTCTCGCAAGGACCTCACTCTCACATGGCCGGGGGGCACCGGAGGAGGAGTATCTGCCGTGGGGGGACTCCCTGGGAGTCCCCCCCACCCCGATCATCGGCGTGGGACCGCCGGCGACCGGGTAAGTAAACAAAAACCAGAGGGCGTACAATTGCACCCGGCGGCGTTTAGAGCCGCCTAAAATAGGGCGTAATTGTACGCCCTTCGGTCTTAAGGGGTTAACCCCTTAAGACCGCAGAGTATTCTATGCCGTCCTTAAGGAAGCGGCTCTAAACGCCGCAGGGCGGCATAGAACATCCCTGCGATCTTATGTACTTACCCAGTCGCCGGCGATCGCGGTTTGAGGACTCACCTGGGAGCCCAGGGAGTCCCCCTCCTTCCTCTTCGGCCCCTCTGGGCCATGTGATCGCGAGGACTTTTGTAGTAGCCACAAACGCTTGCCAAAGTTAGCGTTTATATTTGGTTTTTTTAATTTTTTTTTATACAAAAACTACATTCTTTCTGGTGATTTCATCGTCGTGATAAGATTTACTGTTTTAAATTCTCATATTTCTGTTCAGCGAAGTCTCCCGAGTATAACAATACCCCCCATGTACAGGTTTTATGGTGTTTTGGAAAGTTACAGGGTCAATATGGGGCTTGCCCAATTCAGTTTGCCAGATTGGTTTGCTGGGACTGTCGCCCTTTGAGCCCAGGAATGTGAATTAACCTCATCATGGCATACCATTTTTAAATGTAGACAACCCAGAGTATTCAAAATGGGATATTTCCAGTCTTTTGTTATAGACACTTAGTCACAAATGCTGGCCAAAGTTTGTTTTTTGTATTTTTTTTTTAAAACTGCACTTTTACTAGTGATATCATTGTCGTGATTAGTTTTACTTTTTAAAATACTCCTATTTGTGTTTAGCGAAGTCTCCCCAGTATAACAATATCCCCCATATAAAGGGTTTATGGTGATTTGGAAAGTTCCAGGTACCTTAAATTTATATAATAAAATCAAATAATTATGTAATTTATAGTTAAAGAGATATGGTGTGTGTGTGTGTGTGTGTGTGTGTGTGTGTGTATATATATATATATATATTGTGAGCGTAAAGGTGGAATAGTGGTTGATGGGAGATACATCAGACCTGATTTGCTAAACAGCAACCAGAGGATTTTCAGTTAAATGCCCCAGGGAGAGAGGTTAAAGTTTGCAATATGCATAGCTGATGCTCTGCAAAACATGGTATGGGTCCCTGGGGCGGAGTATTTGGAGAGCAGGGTGGGCCAATGCTCCAACAGCACTAGTTGCTGTATAACAGACCACAGCTTGGATCTGATTTTAAGAGTTAACTAATTGGCACTCACCTGTAGCTACTCAATTAGTAGACAGGCCTTTAAAAGAAGAGGGCAGCCTGCTGCAGAGTGAGGGAGAAAAAGACAGCTAGGAGAGATTGTGTGTATTGCAAAGACATTTCTTTTGTTTGGAAAATTGGTAAGTGGGAAAGCCACCCAATTGCAGATAGCAATTACTGTCTAGTAAGAGCTCAAGTAAGAGCAAGGGATTTTGTTTGTTTTGTTATTTAAAGCACCTGTTTTCTTGCTGAATAAAAAGGAAAACCGAGCTGAATGTGTCCTGGACTTTGTATACCCTAGAAGGCTGTGGTTACTGCAAGATCTGTGACAATCCTACCTGTAAAAGAGGTGGTTTGTTACAATATGTATGTATGTGTATGTATGTATATGTATGTATATGTGTGTGTGTGTGTGTGTGTGTGTATATATATATATGTATATGTATGTGTGTGTATATGTATCTGTATGTATATGTGTGTGTGTGTATATATATATATATATATATATATATATATATATATATATATATATGTATATGTATGTGTGTGTATATGTATCTGTGTATATATATATATATATATATATATATATGTATATGTATGTGTGTGTATATGTATCTGTATATATATATATATGTATATGTATGTGTGTGTATATGTATCTGTGTGTGTGTATATATATGTGTATATATATATGTATATGTATGTGTGTGTGTATATGTGTATATATATATATATATATATATATATATATATATATATATATATATATATATATAGTGTGTGTGAGAAAATATATACTCGAGCATAAGCCGAGTTCCGGCACATTTTTTGTGCTGAAAAAGCCCCACTCGGCTTATACTCGAGTCACTGTCTGTATTATGGCAACTTACATTGCCATAATACAGACCAGGCAAGCCTGGCGGTCCTGTTGGGGGCCGGAGCGAGCTGTTACTCACGTTTACAGCAGCTCTGTGCAGCTCCCCCATTCAGCTCACAGTATAAGTCTCGCGGTCTGCGTGCTGCGGTAACCCGTGGCAACGCCATGACGGCACAGGTCTCGCGAGACTTACACTGTGAGCTGCACGGAGCGGCTGTAAACGTGAGTAACAGCTCGCTCCGGCCCCCAACAGGACCGCCGGGCTTGCCTGGTCTGTATTATGGCAATGTAAGTTGCCATAATACAGACAGTGACTCGAGTATAAGCCGAGTGGGGCTTTTTCAGCACAAAAAAATGTGCCGGAACTCGGCTTATGCTCGTGTGTGTATGTATGTGTATATTTGTGTATATGTATATATATATATGTATGTATATGTGTGTGTATATATATATATATATATACACACACACACTACATATATATTTAACTATAAATTACATAATTATTTGATTTTATTATATAAATTTGAGGTTCCTGTAACTTTCCAAATCATGAATGCATTGGTATGCAGTGGGGTGCCACATATTTCGCTGATTGTAATGGGCCACGGATTCGCAGTCCGATATTGGTTGACAAATAAATTGGTTTGCTCAACCATTAGCTGAAAAATGTTTTCTGACATGAACAGATCAAAATATTTAATTGGCTCTGAAGCATTCACCATAACAGTAAAGGTCACCGTGAATGGGGGTATTTCTGGCGACGTCCGGTTTGGGAGCACCCAGTCACCATCTGGCATTAGGCTTGCTGAGCGTCCTCTTGTAGGTGGTGGTGGGGCATCATCACTTGAGTACTCACTCAGAGGCTCAATGTCAGATGCAGTGGTAGTGTCACAGTCTTGCAGAGTTTCACTATCACTGCCTGCCAGGATGGCGTACGCCTTCTCTGCGGAGTAGCGACGTGCCATTTTAGGGGGGACTAATCAATAATTAATCAAAAAAAACTAAGGGGGAAATTACTAAATTTCTACCTGCCTAACACCCACTACCCACCCTCAAAAACCCACAAAAAATAAAATAAATGCACTAATCGCAGTTTAGACTGCTGCGATCAGTACGGAAAGGGTTATTTTCTTTTATATATATATATATATATATATATACACCGTATTTATCGGCGTATAACACGCACCTCATTTTAAGAAGGAAATTTCAGGGAAAAAAAACTTAAAGTACCACTATAGTGCCAGGAAAACATACTCGTTTTCCTGGCACTATAGTGCCCTGAGGGTGCCCCCACCCTCAGGGACCCCCTCCCGCCGGGCTCTGGAGAGAGGAAAGGGTTAAACACTTACCTTTCTCCAGCGCCGGGCGGGGAGCTGTACTCCTCCTCTCCTCCTTGCTCGCGACGTCATCGGCAGGAGCCGTGCGCGCATTCAGCCGGTCGCATAGGAAAGCATTTACAATG